TGTAAGAGTGAAACCACTGAGGACAAGTCAGCCTTCGGGTTGCAACAGCAAGAGGTTTATTTAGCACACAGGTACCTGTGGGCACAAAGTCTCCTTGGAGAACTTGCACGCCTCAGGCCGGGTTTTTGGAACTTTTATAGAGCAGAAGCGGGATACAGAAGCAGAAGCGCGGTTATTGGCTAATTCAAACTATTACAAAATGCTATGGGGAAAGCGGGTACAAGGTATGAGGAAGTAGGGTGGCTAAATGGGTGGTGACCTCTGGACACAGACGTGGTTTCCTGATTTCCCGGTATTGAACCCGGGGGACGACCAGATGTTTCAACCATGAAACTTGTTTATCAGTAAGTCCAGATGTCTCAACCATAAAACTTGTCTATCAGTAAGTCCAGATGTCTCAACCATAAAACTTGTTTATCAGTAAGTTAGAATTCTTGACCGGTACGCGACCTGCCTAAGGGACTTCATGGCGCCTGACTTTTGTTTTTCAGTGGGTACTGGTACCAATAGAACCAGAATGGTTGACTGAGGGAGCACGCATAGCCAGAGTAACTGGAGGGGCAGGTGGAGTCCCTGATGAGGGGCAGGTGCAGGGGAGGCTGGGCCATCCTGAGGCCATGAGCTGTGCGTGAATCTGGGTTTTTTCCTCTGGACACTCAGTAGTTCCTCCATTTCCGGGTGAACACTGGGACCTGACCTGCAGTTTGGAAAGAATCCTGGGTTCTAAGTGGTTAGGTAGGGGAGGGAGAGAGAAGGTGGGATTAAACTGGAGTTACTGGGGTTCAGACATTGCTGTTCCTCCATTTCCGGGTGAACACTGGGACCTGACCTGCAGTTTGGAAAGAACCCTGGGTTCTAAGTGGTTAGGTAGGGGAGGGAGAGAGTAGGTGGGATTAAACTGGAGTTACTGGGGTTCAGACATTGCTGGGGGGGGCTCCCACTAGCACCTCTCAGATCCTGGGAGGAGCCAGGCCACCTCCACATGGAGAAGATGCCAGCATACAAAAATATTAACCCCATGTCACAGCAGTGGCTGGAGGGTAGGGGTGGGGCACAGCTTCAGAGAGACAAAGTCCCATTAGAGGTTCCTTGTGTTCCTTGAGGTCCAACACAGGGTGGCACCTCCCCACCCTCATCTTCATCTCAGTGTCTGAGCTTGACACCCCTGAAGGTCCTGTGGAAACCAGAGTCCACAGTGGTCCTGACTGTTGTCTCTAGCACACTGTGCTCTCACACACTCATCCACTCTGTCACTTGGGCACTCCCACGTGCTCTGCCCGCTGGTTCATTTGTTATCTGTTCAGGCAGACCCTGGGCCTGGCTTCATCCGCACAGGATGGTCCACTGGAGCTTGCTGTGGCTCTGTCAGTTCCCACATCCAAGTTTCCTCCCAGTTCTGGGAAACCTGTTGTTACTGGGTGACACTCCCGGAATGCTGCAACCTTTCACCCCTGTCCCTCAGAGCCTAAGGGAACCAGTTTCTCCTCCCACACAGGGAACCTCTCTCAGAGCCACCTGCCTCTGTGCAGGGCTGCTGTGTGCTATACCTGCCCACCTGGCACCTCCTCTGGTTTCAAATTTCCCTTCCCCATCCCCCAACCCCTACTCCATCAGGCGTAAGTTTTCTAAGTGGCTGACTCTCATTTCCCACGATGCACATGACTCAGAGGTCTTGGGGCCCCTCCTGCGCTGGAACAGGTATATGAAGGGCACAAGTTCAGAAAGCGATCTCTCAGGTTGTGGTCCTGATTCTACCATTTATTTGCTGTGTGACCTTGAGCAAACACCTAACCTCCTTGTTCCTTGTACTTCTGTCTGGGCTATCCAGAGGTGTCGTGACAGTGCAAACCTTGAAGGGCTGCTGTGCAGAAGAGTCTCCACGGAGATCAAATACATAATCCCAAAGCATTAGGAAGACTAGTGGTGGGACGGATTCTGGGCCCTGGGAGTGAGTGTGGGCAGGGAGCTCTTTTATGCTGCTCTTTCTGTGTACACACCCTGAGTTGCTGGAGTAATCTTGCCAGCACAAGGGGAGGATCTTACCTGATCACTATTTTTTTTTTTTTT